CCAAAAAAAAAAAAAAAAAAAAGTATGTGCTCGGAATGGGGTTGCTGTGTCATATGATAATTCTGTTTAATTTTTAATGGAACTACCTGACTCTTCCAAAACAGCTGCACTGTTTTAATATTTTCACACCTGCAGTATAGGAGGGCTCCTTCTCCATCATGGTGGATATGAAACAGCACCTCATGGTTTTGAATTGCATTTCCCTAATGGCTAATGCAATAACTCCTTGATAATAATAATATTCTTCCAGACCTTTTTTTTTTTTCTGTGCACATGTTTATGTAGATCATCTTCTTCATCCCCACACTGGAACATATTGTTGATCAGTGTCAGTGTCTTGGGATCTTGGTTACACACATACATGCACCCGGTGTGAGTTTAAGCCACCAGGTCCGGGACTTGAACTGCAGTAGACTACATGGGAGTCCAGCAATATAGCCATTATGCCATCTGCTGGTCCCAGAGACTACAATTCTTAAAATATGTAGCTTGTCCATGCAGCTGTTTTTCTGATGAATATTGAAGTACCATTTGAAGATAAAGCAATACCTTTGGTATAGTTTTATTTTGCTTTGCTCCTAATTGTACCTGAATTTATTCATCCAAAAGAAAGTGAATTCTTATCAAAATAATCACACTTTCAGGGTCAGTTGATATGTTCCATGAATCAGTCTTTTTTTTTTTTAACTTTTCAGTAATTAATTTAATAATTTTAGAACCCATTTAATAATTCAAGTTTAAAACAAAAAGAACCTTAGATCAGCTGATGCCATGGTGCTTGAGGTGGCTGGATCCCATGTGGCCATCTATACCATTTGGTCCAGACCCGGGGACCTGAGAGACATGCTGAATGCACGTGTGAGGATGCAGAAATCTGGAGCATCCTGAGAGGAGAATGGAGGAGGGGGGCTTGCGGCATGGCTGTCCCCCCGGGGATGCTTTATCACTTTCTCTGTCTTTCTCTTTGTCTCTTGCCAATGTGTGTGCTTGATAGCAATGTTTTTAAAAAGGCCTTTTAAAAAAAGTAAATATTGGGACTGGCAGGTAGAGTGGTGGTTAAGGTACATCACATGGTTGGCCACAGTTCGAGTCCTGGACCTTGCGGCTTACTGTCTCACTTTCTCTCTCTGTCTCTCTGGTCAAAATTTAAAAATATAAATAAATTAAGTAAATAATTCTTTCTCTTTTAAAAAAGTAAATATTTGCTCTTATGCAGACTTAAAACATTTCCCCATTTCTTACGATCTAATTTAATAAAACTTCCACATGACTCACAGGGCAATTATGATCAACATTATTATGTGGATCATAATCACTAGCCTTGTGGCCCAGTGGTTAAGGGAGCCAGATCCCACATGGCCGAATATGGTTTGAATCCCAGCCCCAGTAGCTTGAAAAATGCATTGAATGCTTGTACATACATGCCCAAAACCCAGAAAGGAAGGGGAAATGGAGGAGAAGGGATTGTGGTGTGACCATCCCCCATAGCAGGTCTTTCTTGCTTTCTCTCTCTCTGTCTCTTTCCAGTGAGCACACACACACTTCCTAGCAATTAAAAAAAAAAGATATTTTTTGAAGAGAATTTATTAAAAGTTTCAGAGGTGTTCTGAGCCATGGGAGCGCATATGAATCAATGAGGAGCCTGTTACGGTAACTGGAATCAGAGTGTGGGCTGTGAGATGGCAGCTGGGCTGTCTAGTCCAAGGAGTCTCGTTTCCCCTTTGCCAGCTGTACCTAAGAAGTAGTGTACGTCCCTGGGTGGCAGTAGGCACACGCCGACCCTTGGAGGGTAGTGTTTAGGGCACATCCCAACGACCGTCTCTCAGGGTTGCCCTCCCCTTCCAGGTTGAGAAAAATCACTGCCCTACTCAGTCCTCCAGTGCAGCCCAGTAAGAAAGCTGAGGCCAGAGGAGCTGGTGACAGGTGCAAGGTCACGCATAAGGTCATGTGTGAGTGCAGAACTGGACCTTGAACCCAATCCCCCTGCTTCCCTTTGAAGAGCAGCCCCTGCAGTGCTTCTGTTCTGGTGCACTTGTTAGAACACATCAGTCCAGCTGCCCCACGCATCCCCAGAAGCTAGCTGACCCATGTTGCCATGAGGGCTAGGATGTAGAGGACCAGGCCGCTAGACTTTCAGGAAAATGCTCTTATCCTAACTCTCAAAAGACCAAGGAGGACTGAGAGCCTCCTACCCTTTGTTGCAGTCGCACAAAGTTGCAGCTTTGAGACACAAATTCTTCCTTTCCCCGAGAATCTCTATTAGGGAGATGGAGTGTTTTCAGCTCTAGAGCCAAATTCAGCCACTGTGGGGGGTGGGGAGCAAGAGACCACTAAACCTGACTCACAGTCTAAGCTCCGTTAGTGCTTTGCCTGGGGTCTAATAATATCCAAGCAGGTGCATGTTTTTCAGTAACATCCCGCCCTGTAATACGTCTGAAATAGCAAAACTGAAAGATCACTTCTAATAAGGCTTTAACCAAAGTTGTTCTTCCCTAGTGCAGACACAGCCTTCACGTAGAAATCCTGAAAAGACTGAACTCTAATTATCATGGAGGTCCCGGTATTTGCTCTTGCGGAGGCCCTCACCTCCCAGGCAATTCTGGCACCAGCGAGCAGGTCTGTGGTGACAGAAGAGAGTGTGACTATGGCCGTGGCCTTTGGACCACAACAGAGGGACCTAGGTTAGCTTGGGTGGGTCTCGGTGTAATGAGGGAAGGAGAGGGGGCCGGGAAGATGCCCCAAGTGTCTCTCACTTCCCTTAATGGTTTGTCCTGGAGGGCAGGGCCCCTCCTTGTTCATCTTTGCATCTCTGTGGCATTCAGCGTGGTGTGTTGGCCATGGTCGCTGTAGTTGGTATTCGGCAGACACTGAGTTCCTCTTTCAGACCTATTAAGATCAATAAAAAAGGGGGCTGTTTTATCATCAAGTAAGTAGGTTATGGCTTGTGGGAGGTGGGTAGGGAAGATGTTACTCAGCTATGTTCTGGTTTGTTTTGTTGTTTTTTTTAGAATTTTGCTACAGGGTATGTGCACTTGCCAAAGTGACAAAGAGTCAGAAAGCGAGAAATCACTCCCTAAGGAGGATGGCCACGCTGCAGTCCCTTCCCCTCCATTCTCCTCTCAGGACTTTGGGCATGCACAAACACACACACACACACACACACACACACACACACACAGCCTGAGTTTTAAGTCACCTGGTCTGGGACTTGAACCATGGTCGGGTGCATGGGACTCCAGTGATGCAGCCATTATGCCATCCGCTAGTCCCGTGTTCTGTATTTTTAAAAGATCTTTCCAGTAGTGTTTTTTCTTTTTACAGATTAGCAGGGCTTTCAGGATACTTACTTGGGTGGGCATGACCTGCAGTGCATGGTGACCTCTCTCTGGGCTCCTCATATCAGTAATGAGATTAACTTTCCCATTGCCAACCCCATGAGATAAATGGTTTGTGATTATTCCATGTCGGTTTCATTTTTCGCCCAGCATGATGTTTCACTATTAAAAAATGAACCTTGATCCAGGGTTGTCCTCTTATGTATTAAACATGATTTCCTTGGTTCCTAGATTTAATTTATAATTACAATTCAAAACCATCCCATTCATTCTCCAGTGGATTATTTTCGTCCACTCTATTTCGGGTAAGGGAATAATTATCAAGGCTGCAAGAGTGTTCGTCATGGAAACTGGAATTTTTTCCTTACCTTTTCTGAATAAACAGGGTTGTCAAATGCCCGGACCCTGATATCCTTGTTGATCTCCAGTTGAGTCATGGCAGTTTGTTGACCAAGGTGAATCAGATCTCTTTCCTCTTAAAGCAAATGGCCCATGACTCCTGAGGGGGCCTCTGGATGTGAGAGAAACACCTGGGCAGAGGGCCACAGCTGCAGCGAGGACTGTGGTCCTCGAGGTAGGGTTCCCCAGTCCTGACTCAGTTAGGCACCTGGACTCACCTGAGGAGCTTCTGAAAGTCCCATGCCGAGGCCCCATCCCAAGTGAATGAAGCCAGAATCTCTGGGGGTGGAGGCTGGCATTCCCCATCCCCCCCCTTTTAAAATGAGCGTTTTTAGCCCTAGGTGACCAGCATTGCAGCCAAGTTGAGGTCATCAAGTAATTCCTGTACCTTCTTCCCAACCAGAGCAAATGCATCTACAGCTGCCCAGTGATGTCACAGCACCGGGCAGACCTGTGATCACGTCCTGCTCACTTTACGGAGAAGTTAGGATCGATGGAGTCTGCTGGTTAGTGGGAGAACTAGAGACCGAGTAGTGTGTGTGTGTGTGTGTGTGTGTGTGTGTTTCTATTGTAAAGAACAGGTGATTCAAGACCAATGAATTGTTTTTTTCCTTGGAGTACAAACTATTGAAATTGATTTTATCAGCTTTAGCTCCTAACCGGCTTTATATTTAATATACTTAGCTATGAATCAGAAGGTGTTTAAGTGTTTATTTAATGTTACCAGACACTTATGCTTATTTATTACTCTTGCCTTCTCCGTATATTAAGAGGCCTAAGAAATCAAAATGATACTGTTTTCAGTTCCCTTCATGGTGCCTTAAAGGGTAAAATCATCCTTGTGGTTTTAACAGAGTCTTCTGGAACCAACTGGTGGCCTGGTTAAGGCGGCCAGATCCCATGTGGCTGACTGTGTGGCTGAGTCCTGGACTCAGCAACTTGAGAAACACACTGGGTACATGTGTGTGCATGCCCAAAGTCGTGAAGAAGGGAGGAATGGAAGGGAGAAGTGTGCTTTCTCATTCCTCTTCCCACCACCCCAGTCCCCCATGTTCCCCTGCCCCTTGCATAGCACGTGCCCTCTTGCAATTAAAAGAAGCCTTCTATAGCAAGAGCAAGGTTGCCGAGGGCAGTGGGGAGACGGAATCACGGCGAGAGTGAGTTAGCACAGGATGAAGCATGTGCACAGAAAGGAACTTTCCCGTCAGGGTGGGAATACATGTGTTGGAAGCAAGTGGTGGGAGGGTGCAGCTTGACACTTCCCCCCTCT